CCACTGGACTGTTTTGGATTGCTAGCTATGGGGGGGAGGGGGAACGTGCAGATCTGCCCTCCCAGAGGAGGGAGAGCTTGTACCTGAATACAACTTAGTCTTAAAGGTGCCACTGGATTGTTTTGGACCAGGGGGCCGGGGGGGAGGCTCTGCAGCTTACCTGGCTGCTTCTTGCTCTGACTGAGGGCTGCTGGGAGCAGGGGGTGGGGCTTGTTGCATGTGCCCACCCCCTGGGCTCTTTACTGCCGGAGCTCCGCTCCTGTGCACTCCTGCAGGAAATGACCCCTGATTACGATTGATCTTCAGATGGGTGTGGAGCAGGGGTCACTGCGGGTGTGGAGGGGGAGGTATTTGTGAATTTCCTGCATTGTGCAGGGGGTTGGGCTAGATGAACTTTGAAGTCCCTTCCAACTCTGTGATTCTATGATCAGTTCCCCTGGAGAAAGTGCCGGCTTTGGAGGGTGGATTCTCTGGCATTATACCCCGCTGAGGTCCCTCCCCTCTCCAAAACTTGCCCTCCCCAGCAATGCTCCCTCTAAGCTGTGGCGTCATGTGAGCAAAAATTCTACTTTGTGAGCTCCTGGCATTAAAGTCGTAAGGGAGTGATTTGGCTGCTGCATAAATTAGTGTGCTCTGGAGCCCCATCCTTCCTGTGCGAGCCGGAGGCTAAAAAACTGTGAGCTAACTCACACCAACTCAGCTCAGAGGAAGCATTGCTCCCCAGGCCCCACCCCAAAACATCCAGGTATTTTCCAACCCAGAGCTGCAAACGAAGTCACACCCCGCTGTTTTGTCGATCTAGAAAACTGAGCCAACATGGAACGCTAATGCATTTTCGAGTTAATTACCTACTTTGAATTATTTCAGGTTAATTATCTACTTTGGCTTATTAATCAATTACATTTAAATAAATCTGCACATTAGCCAGACCTTACCATAACTGTCCTCTTCTGCACTCCAGTTCAGGGGGGTTCCGCAGGAGGGCATCCAGGTGGGTGGTGCCTTGTGCTAGTGGGTGGGACAAGGGGGCGTCATCTGCATTTCCTGCCATGGCAACCCAAATGTCTTAGCCTAGCCCTGAGATGCCTCAAGACCTGATTAACTTTGGGTGCGTTCAGACGGCGTGCCGGGAGCGGGTTAAACTGCTCCGGTTTCCAAGTGGACTAATTTGATCCGGGGCAAGCGCGGTCACACTCACCTCCCTTACCGCACAACACATCACTCCCGGGCGTCCACACTAGGCGCGCAGGAGTGCG